CGGAGACTTGTACAACCAATAAGAGGTAGTGCACCCAATTTTCGACCAATCTCCTGGTTCACCGAACAATTATCGCCAATCATGAAGAGGACCGATTCCCATGGTCTGTTGAAGGTGGACAGCGTGTCCGCTATGAGGTCAAACAGACTCTGAGCCCCTAAACCTTTTTCGTCTAAAGGGGACAGAAAGCCAGTAACACGAAGCGGTGTGTAAGGCACTAAATGCTCTCGTCGTAGTTAGGATTCCGCTCCTTTGGTTGCGAGACCGTTGGGTCATCAAAAACCGCCATGATGGCGATGAAGTGGTAACCACCACTAGACCACCCATCGAGCACCACCCCAAACTTCTCAGGAAGCTTGAGAGCAATGTCGTCTGAGACGTAGGTATAGAGAAGATCAATGTACTTCTGCAGCGTTACAGTCGAAATCGTCTCCTCTTAGCGTTCTTACGAACGAGAGGACGCTCACCGAAATTCACGGGCATGTGGTTCATGACGCACCACTCAATCCAGCGGAACACGTCACTAGTCCGCTGGTCTGACAGTATGAGCCCAAAGCGGTTGCTCTTGCGGTAGGCAGCCACAGCTAGCTCTTGGTAGTCAGGATGACGCTTCAGGAGGTGGTGGACTTGATTAGTGCAGCTATTACCGCTCTTGTATACCTTTTGACAGGTGTTGCAGCGGGCCTGTTTAGGTGCGAGCTCAGTGAAGAGCAAAGAATAGAGATCCTTGTTTGAAAACTTCATGATGGGCGTTGCTGGAGGTAAGGGGCTTTAGAAGAGTGTTCAAAAGAGCAAATGCGCAAGTGAGAGAAGTGTGGAGCTAGCAACAAGGTCGAGAGATCCGCGGATTCTCAGCCAGACCTTTATGGTTCGTAGAGAGTGATACTACAATGTTTTAAGAAAATGGTAAGAATATGCCAATAATATAGGTGATATTTCTGAATAATAATTCCCTTGTGAATATGATAATGTATTTAAATTATATGCTCAAGTAGGAAGGCCTGTACGTTGTACTTTAGCAGAGCACCACGGTGGACAAGCTTTGGTGGAGAAGATGAAAATATTTTTCGCCAACAATGATCCTTATGCGGTTAGGTCATATGGTTAGATTCTTCGCACTCGAGGAGCATCAGCTTCATTTTAACAGCAGCGATTTCTCAGTTTTGCGTAATTTCACATGTTTTGTACTTTACAAGTACCCGAGCTATCAATTCGTATTCACGTAGTACAACTTGTTTTCGTGCTGAAGAGATGTGCCTGGTTTTGCGTTACATCAAACTATTTACGATCTGCTGATCACGATGCCGTCTTCGTTCAAAACACCAGTCAATAATAATGTTGCCAACGCAGGTGCCATCACTACTAATGACAGCCAGTGAGTCCAGCGCATCTATCCATGCCTTCAACTTTGGCAATAGTACACCATTATTTTTTTTACTTAAGGCCCATTTGTTGGGTTTCACTTCAACGTGTTATGATTATCAGATGACAGCCACTATAGCCTTCACGCATTTTGATTGGCTAAAATGAAATCGACGTGCGTCCTATTCCTCATTTAGGATTTTACAGCAAGAGGCAACCATGGCGCTTAGCAAACCGATGGAGATGATGGCGGCTGCCACCGCCGCAGGATGTGGCGGCTTCCTGTCTACGAGCATTCTTTACCCGCTAGATACGCTGAAAACGCGCATTCAGTCGGGAGCGTCGCTGCTTCCACAGGACGAGGATGTCGACGCAGCGGCACCCAAGAAAAACAAGCAGGTGGCCCTCATCAAGTCTCTGTACAAGGGCATCCAGTACAAGGCGTTGGAGTCTTCAACCTCCAAGTTCCTATACTTCTATGCATACACGATGTTGGCGCAGATGGTTGCGCCCAAGGATGGCAAGCCCATCGGTACGATCACAGACTTGGGCATTGGCTACCTGAGCGAATTGTGTCATCTACCCATCACGATGCCCATGGAGCTTGTGGGCACGCGCATGCAGACCGGCTCGGAGTCTGGCAGTATTCTGCAGATCCTTCGCTCGATTGTCAAGGAGAGCGGCATTGGAGGGCTGTACAAGGGGCTGGGAGCCTACTTTGTGTTGTGTCTGCAACCGGCAATCCAGTACACGGTGTTTGAGCGGCTCAAGGGTGTCTATCTGCGCAAATTCAAGCAGGCATCACAGGCACTTGGAGCATTGGAGGTGAGAACGACTTGATAGTGTAGTAAGGGGGAGGTGAGAGTGTTATTCTGACCGTTATTGCATCTGCTAGGCGTTCGTGCTAGGAGCTATTGCGCGGTCCATCGCTACACTCGTGTTGTTCCCGTACATCCGCGCCAAGGTACTGATGCAGTCCAACAAGAAGAAACTATCAACTGCGGCTGATCAGGAGCAGGGCCAGTCGAACACGTGCGCCGAACCCAAGAAGGATACCATCGCGTCGACTCTGCAGCGCGTGTACACGGAGGAGGGCCCGCTGGCGCTCTACCGTGGCCTTGGGCCGGAACTCACCAGGGTAAGTTCGTATTTGAAGCGTTTAATGTCGTCGACGTGCTGACTCAATTTATATCTATTGCTACTATTTTATCAATCCAGGGTGCGCTCTCGTCCGCGCTGATGCTCATGATCAAGGAGAAGATCCAAATGTACATCACGCTGCTCATGATTATCGTCAACTCGGCGTAGACTGCAAGGAAGCTGCTGCCACTATACAGGAGACCTTCACTCACAAATGATACTACTGACCTCTGCGAAAAACTGTTTAGCTCGTCAGCGTGAATACTGTTTGTGGTTTTTCGCAGAGCGCGTAACCCGATATACGGGTTACGCGCGAAGTTCGTCAGCGTGAACGTCGAATGTAAAAGCGATTCCCGACTTCCAGGTGTATGTATGACCAGTGGTTCTTGACCACAAACGTAGTGTACGGTGGACTGGGTCAAAGTGGGCTTCACTGGGCTCAGCCCAGTGAGCTCCACAATGTAGTCCACCAGCATCCATTTCTACTTGACTTGTGCCTAGCAGAAACGCGGCTTTCTCCGTGTTTAACAGACAGATCACAAAAAGGCACAAGTCCAGGATCCGATGTGCCAACAACAACTGCACGCTGCGTTGGACGTCGTGCAAATTGTACGCGTCACGCCGAAAGACTGTCGCGTCGAGCGATGCCTACAGTTTACGGCACAGAATCCTATGCTTATTATGGCCTTCACTTTCGAGCACCTGTGCGGAGCGTAAACGTGTAGGGATTTTCCCTGTGTGCAGACCATTGGACAACAGCTCGTAGATTCGAGTCGATGGCCTTCGTAGCCCTTCACCACCCTTCAGGGTGGATATCCGGAAATACAAATGAGTACATTTACATTTTCTGAAGGCTGGAAGCGTTGCTGCCGTTGCTTCAACTGCCTGACAGGCTTGCCTTTTTCGGTTACGATTTCTTAGCAGCGAACGTGCTGCCATCACAGAGTCCACCCACATAGTTTACTGTTCCGACGCTTCCTTTCTAGAAGGTATATATGATCTGAAAGTTCGTATTTCTCGTTTTTAAAACAATTACAGTTCAACCAGCAAATACGATGTGTAAGGATACTAACTAGCAAAGGTGCAAAGTATCCGCGTGGCTTCCGTGGAAGTTCCGGCCCGTTTCTGACCGCACAACTCCACGATGACGAGCATATTGTATGCCGCATAGAGAGCGCCAGTCAGAGTCAGAGTGCATGTTGCGGGTTGCGGAAAAGAAGCAAGGCCGCCCACCAGAGCACACAGCACAGCAGCCAGGAGCGAGCACAAGGCCCCTACGAGCCAAGGAAAGGAACGCAGCGCCCCCGCATTACGTACGTACAGTCCAGGAAGGGCCTCCACACCCGCATAGCAGCCCACAGACACACTATCCAGGAGTAATTAGGACACACAGAAGACAGAACGATGTGTTGGTGGTGTTGCATGCGCGTGTTGGAAAAGTGTCTGCCCCGTAACGACATCGTGCGGGAGCTGGCGCCGTACTTGCAGCATGTACACCAGGATGACACGCTGGACGACGAAACGCGACGCGGCGGGGATATGGGCGGCCCCTGGGTGCGGTCTCAGTCTCCTAGGGGCGTCGATAAAGACTCAGCCACATCCAGCGACTCACTGCGCCACGTGAACATGAACTACCCACTACGTCACAGCTTAGACTGTGAACTTAGTCTCCAGACCGACAGCACTTTGAACCACGGCCGACCGCTGAGTAAAATGAGCATGAGGAAGCCCGACTCTGGCGGCCACGACGGCAATTACGAGGACTATGCTAGTGCCACACTCCAGAAGGAACAGATTAACTCGGCCGAAATTTCTACAATACAGGACGGAAGCAGAACTATCTCGTCCCATGGAAGCTCACAGACTCAGACGCAGGAGAGAGAGAACGCAACTTTACTGCGTCTCACGAGGATGGAGGCGGAGAGTGGAGGCAGCACACAGAGCTTGGAGGTGTCAGGGTCGGAATACTCTGGGGTAGGCTCGAACAACACGATGATTGGCAAGAAAAACCTGGGAAATAAAATCAAGACGGACCTGGGAGACCTCACGCCTGTGAGGTGGGAGAAGGTCGTGATTGTGCAGGTTTCCGTACAGGGTTTCCGGGAGATGATGAGTCAAGCGAAGGATCTCATGGAGGACGCCAAGTTACTGTACGAACACACGGTACTGTCTCGACTGGCGTCGGAGTATGGAGGACAGGAGATTCTGAGTCACTCACGGTCGGGACTGTTTGTGATCGCGTTCGCGTCCGAGTTCCACGCTGCCAAGTGGTGTCTATCATTGCAGCTGAGTCTGGTATACGCCGCGTGGAATGATAAATTACTCAAGCAGTTTGACGATATGAGAGAAGTATCGGTCACTACAAACGGCAAGACGAAGAAGAACATGTTGTTGTATCGCGGTTTCCGGGTTCGGATGGTGATTCATACGGCAGATCCAGATATTACCCCGGAGTTATCTCTCAGTGAAGCTGTCAAGTGGACCAAGACGGTAAGTGAATATGCACATGGAGGACAGATCGTGCTGAGTGACAGCGTCTGGGATCGGTTAAAGGAACAGCTTGTCCAGTTGGGCAATCCTGTCGTGGAAGATCTCGGTTGCCATGCAGTTCTAGGCGACGAAGTGCTATTGATGCTGCTGTTACCTCGAGATCTGGAGCTACGAAGATTCCCGAGCTTGAAAAGCCCCCACCAGCTCTCACTTGGCATGCGAGATGCTCCGTCCGCGCACAAACCTGTCACGATGGTGTTCACATTCATTGAAGGAGCTCGGCCGCTGGTTCGATGTCACGCAGAAGAACTGGCAGATCGCATTAAGACGTTGTGTATGGTTGCTCGTGAACTGCTGAGGAAACATAATGGCTATGAGTGTCAGGAGTTGCAGGGAGATTTCATGCTGGCGTTCTTCACGCCTGCGAGCGCCATCTTATGGTGCGGCGAGTTCCAGGTGCGCATCCGACAAAAGTTCCGCGAGTGGGATCGTGAGAACGAGAACCAAGAGCTGCGCTTCTCGATGTCGATGGGTATCGAGACTGGTATTCCTGCTAGTGTAAGTCCACACAAGACAAGTGGACGTGCTGACTACTTCGGTAATATTGTGAATCAGACGGCGCGTATCGCCAAGGCTGCGCATGGCGGTCAAGTCCTGATTGGTGGAGACGCTTGGAGTGCTTACTGCGCTGCTCAGCCAGCACAGCAGATTATTTCCAAGGCTGACAAGATCAAGGATATCCCAGGCTCCACAGTGTTCCAGTTCAAGGCGCACGGCTACTACAGTTTCAAGGGCATCTCGAAGCCTATTGGCCTTATTGAAGCGATTCCTGTTGATGTGCAATCACAGACGCTGAGCTTGGACCTGATGACGCTTATTCGGGGTCATGCGCCCAAGGCCAAACGTATTGAAGACGCAGCGCTCGCTAACCAAGCCAAGACAGTCGTACCAGACGTTCCATCGGAGCTCGTACGGCTCAGTCATGGCGGCGAGCAGCCCAATAATTCGATTCGTGAAACGGAGTTCGACTTCAACCTCTCGTGGGACGACAGCATTTTTGTGTTCGAAGATATTGATGAAGAAGATGGAGATATGGAAGGCGAAGGACACGGACGCGGTTCGGCCGTCTGTGGCAGCGTCGCCCTCGCCATGCGGAATAGCACGCTCAACCATTCTCGACTTATGGCACAATTGCGCTCATCCAGAAGGGATGACTCGTTCAATTCACAACGTAGTTCTGCAAATGCCACGCGGACCGAAGACATGGATAGAGTATAGCCACAAGGACCCCACCGACTTGGCTTGCTGTTCGCCTGTGGTACCTTACTCTCTCGTGTCTTGATTCGTCGTAACAGATGGAACACAGTGTCTGTACTGAAGTCGAGGGACACTTCGCAGTGATGTGGTAAGCTCAGTTGTATTGCCGCTAATAAATTAAAATGCTTTGCTATGGCTAGGAGAGTCAGGAGTTGTTGTGTTGGTATCGCTGTTGATTGCGAGTACGGAAGGTGGTAAAGGCATGAGAAGTGTTTGAGTAGGTTTCTTCAGGATACTGTATCTACGCGGCGACGGTGACCCTGCAGACACACCGTTGAAGGAGACGGAAGGTCGACGAGAAGATGACAAGCGATGTTCTTGCTGACGCGCGACGAGTGCACGCAGTTCTGGATCAGCATCCAACGTGAGTTGTATACCTCGACGGACGAGATATTCCATCGTTTTAGCACCGTTCGGGTTGGAGAAAAGGACGAAGCACGGGGATGGATGCGCAGCCTTGCTCGTAGAGCTAGTAATGGCGTTGCCTCGATTATCTGTTGCTTCTTCCCAGTTTAAAGACCCTTGGACGATCGCGCGAGCTTCCTCCAGCTTCACTTCTCTAAAGGCAGGAAAGTATGGTAACTGCGTGGTATTGCAGGGAGGTCAAAAATGAATTACTAACCTGGCATAACTCGCGCATAGTATCTCTTCTTTGTAGGCTTGTAGCTTTCGCCGGAATTCCTTCCTTGATTCAGTCAGAAACTCTGTCAAGAGTTGCCATTTAATGCTGAACAATTAAAAACGGTGAGTCTAAGCAGCATATCTTGCATGCATGCTACATGTAGTTACTAACCTTTTTGGTATTTTCACGACTTGGGCTGATGTTTGTTGCAGGCGTTGGAGCTCGACGGGTGTAATAAGCATTTGCATGTTGGCCAACTTCTCATCCATACCACCGAGTATTGCAACCGATCCTGCTCGAGACCGATGCGCGCCTGCGGATCCAGGTGCAGACCCGCTGCTGGAGTCTTTCCGAGCAGTCAAACGCCTTTCATCCATGTTATGTTGGCGCTCCGTGCGTTGGCGTTCATGGTCAACATTCTCCCACCAGATAGACAAGGCTTGCAGTCGAGCCCGGTTGCAGTTGATGAAGGACCTGAGAAGCACAAAACAACAGTGTTAGCGTCAAGGAGTCCCGTATTCCACAAGTGATACAGACAACTTACATGCCAGCCTTCTGAGCGCGAATGACTTTGCCTCGCCATTGAATCATCACACGGGTAAAGTTTTTCTTGGCGTGGCTCTGAGAGTATTGATCCTGCATAAACAGCCGCAACAACGCAGCATTTCGAGCTTTGCGACGACAACGCACTCGCAAGAGGAGCTTCCACAAACACTTTCGAAGCCAAGTGTAAACTACCACAGTGTGCTTGGAGGCGTGCTGCCACTTCCATTTCCGCCAGATCTTCTGAATGATACAAGCAGCAACACCTTCAACTTTCGCCATCGCCATTAAATTTTTGGTCTGCACGAGTTCTTGGTGCCAGTGATGTGAGATTGCCGCGAAGGAAACCACGTGAAGCCAAGCCTTACGTCGTCGGTAACGAGGTGTCTGTTCTAGTTCCGATGCTGGTAATTGTCGGTCTGGATTCACTTTCCGTAGGTACGCTTCACGTTTCGCTGCCAGCTTTTCGTCTTCCAGTTGGATAATCTGCTCACGGTGACGATGTGTGCGCTCCATTCGCTCAGCGGTTTGTTTCTTTCTAGCGCACACGTTGGGGTCAGTTAGTCCAGACTCGATGTTTGTTAATGTACTAGAATACCGTACGTACTTGAGTTCGTGCTCGTCGGGAGATCTCGGTGACTTCGCGCGTTCTTTATTTTCACGGATTTTCTAACGACACGGCAGTAGAGTGCTTGAATCAAACGTGCCATGCAGAACCATTATAAAGGGGTAGTGTCTTACATCGCCTGTGTGGTTTTTCTGTCGGTATTGCTGTTGAATTTGCTCAACTTCATTCTACAACCGAAGATACACGATGTTAATGGGGTAGAATGTTTAATGTCATTCAAGCAGATATGCACCTGGAATGCTGCCCATAATGTCGGATCAGCGCGTAGCTCAGCGATGAATCGTTGGATTCTGTTTGGACCGAAGTTTCTAGTGTTAGTCAAATGTAGCGGTTCCGAATAGTAAATAAACTTCGCACCTTTCTTCTGATCTTGGAGTGATCTGCGTTGATCTTGGACTCGACGGTGAAGTGACCAGGCTTTGAGCTCGTCTGCGGGGGCTCGAAGCTCCATCAGGTGATTTGAGCGGACTTCGTGGAGACGATGGAGCTCGAGGGGATGAAACTTTCTTCGGTGATTTCGAAGAAGCAGTTGCTAACACTTCAGCCCTGGTAGAAACAAACAGCTTTAGTCAGGCCTGTTAATCCACAATTCTTAGATCACAGGAACTTACACAGCACGTCGAACTTGCGCAACTTCATCTTCCTCGTTTGTTACAGCTTCCCACTCGCTGACAGGACGACGAGAAGGATGTCTGTGAAACAATGCAAAAAGTGAGCATCTAACTGCTAAACAAGCGCGTTTGGAGGTACGTACATCCAAGATGATGGAAGCACAGACTGGCGGATAAACTCGAGAATGTGCTCGCGAGGTAACCCCCACAAGAAGAGCGGTGACTGCTCATCGTCATGCAGCGTCTTCTTCATCATATTATGCAGCACTTTGGTTCGATCGACGTGGTCGCCTTCGATACATGGTTTCCTTAGATCGTGAAATTGTGCTCTCCACTTTTTCTCGATACTCTCATCAGAATCAAATAGTTCGGTCGGATTTCGACTGTTAGGAGCTGAACGAGGTGATTGAGGAGGTAGAATCGAACATATTCCCTGTCCTGCGATAGCAGTAACGGAGCGGTGTGTAGTGCGTGGCGGTGGTCTTGAACCCCTAGTCGACAACGGAACAAGACTGGAATGCTTCGGAATTGGTAGCTGAATCATTGTCTCCTTTGCCATATCCGCATTCTCGATCTGCCTCACCATCCACCCGTCCAGACGATCTTGCTGCATGGCTGCTTAATAAAACTTAACGCGAACTAAAGAGCGATGTAGAACCTCTCTGAAAGTCGATTGCAATGGCTAAAAATATGAAGATAAACTTGGATCGACGAAAAATTGTCTCGATGTGGTGGGCAAAGGGTAATGCCCGGCTCACTAAAGGTCAAGTTGAAGTGGATCACTGAATGAAAACCCAAGCAGGATTAATACAGACAACCACAAAGCTATACGGAAGCAGGATGCATGCAGCGTACAAGTAATACAACAGCAAGGCGACTCTAACCGGCACAACTCATTCAACCAATATGTAGCCGACGCGCACAGCCAGACAAAAAGGGTGCAGGTCACAAAAGCCTCCTCTCGTCTCCGACGTCGCTCCTAGTGAGCGATCATAACTGGGAAAGGACGATGCGGGAATTCTAGCTACTTCGTCGATAGGGAAAAAGAGGGCGGTGGTTTGGCTCGCGCTTTGAGCTGACGACTGGTTGAAGGGGACTGCAGCTGGGACGATCGGATTCCATTCTTCTAGTAGATATTGTAGCTTAGACTTATTCCGTCAAGCCCATGTTCACCTCACCGTTGAAGATGGCGGCGGCCGCGGCGAAGCGCTCAGCCTGCTGCTGCTGGAGCTCCGTCATGGCCATCAAAAAGGCCGGTTCCTGCTGGTATTTCATCATCGCAGCCTGGAGAACCTCGCGCGTGAGGCCGTGCTTGGCGTGGATCTCGGCCGACAGGTTGTCAGCGCGCTTGACATATCTCTGGTTGATGGCCTCCTCCTTGTTGTCCGGGTTGAGCTCCTTGACCTCAAGGCAGACTTCTTCCATGGCCACATTGAGCGACTCCATGGTCTCCTGCATGATCTCAATGAACTTGGTCAGTGTGAGCTCAGAGGGCACCTCGACGTCACTGAAGCCGCCGCCGGTCATGACACGGTAGAGCTCCTGCAGCTTGGCAACAGCGTTGGCCACGTCCTTGTCGTCCTCCTCTTCGAAGTACTCAGTGGCCACCTTAACTTCGTCCTCGGTAGTTTGGAACTTGGCATACACCTGTGACTCGATGGCCTTCATGGCCTCCTCGAACTGACCCATGAGGTATGAGGCCAATTGGTCCTCCGGCAGGGAGCGACCGCTCTGGGACGATTCCTGGCGGATCTTAGCCTCCAGCTTGGCCAGTTGCATCTAGATAAGAGTACAAAACTGATTTAATATCCATAGTATTGTGCTGTACTGTCGAGAGCTGGTTAAACGTACCACAACTTGGCCCATTTGCGTGCAAATGGTCTCGAGGATGCTGAGCAGCTGCTCCTTGTGCAGGTTGGGCACTTCACGCACACCGTCTTCCTTCTTTTCCTTCTTCGCGTCCTGCAGAAGTAGCGTGGATGCTTAGTTAAACGCATACGTCATTGCTGGACGACTAGTTAAGTGATATGGAGTACGTACGCTGGAGCTGCCGTTGCGGGCCAGAGCGAAGATAAGGAGGGCGGCAGCTGCTACGGCCGAGACGCCGGCGATCACCAGGGGCTTAGACACCTGCACCATGTTGCTGTGTGTGAACGGGGGAGGCAAGTGGAAGGGAGAGGCCAGAGACGTTCTTGGTTGTGTGTGGAGGCCAGCGATATCGGGTGGAGCAGATGTCGGTAGTTCACCGGTAGGCTCCGTCGAGCCGGAAGGATGATAAAACCTTGAGACACACAGTTAAACCTCATTTCAGCGGTATACCGGTTGCAACGTTTCTTTGCCTTCGCTTCAGTTGCTGGATGACCATTTGTCCCGGCAACATAAGACTATTTCATCTCAAAAACAGGATTTAACAATAATAAATAATTCAAGTAATTTTTTGTTTTAGTATTGATACTAGTTATTTTTCACACCTTCGTTTTCGTAAATGACCTGGTACCAGAGGTAATCTGGGCAACAGGCGGAGTTGCACTGTAAATTACTTGAGCTGATCCTTAAATGCATGGTGCATTTGGAAAAGGACACACTGAACCTTTTGGTTATTATCAGCAATGTTCGGAGTTGAGTCGCCATTGAAACAAGGCGGGTGAACGCCTTTATCGTCCAGGGTGTACAGTGGCTCGGGGGAGTAGACTTTCCCAAAATATCACTCCTGAGCGGCAGGGTGGATCGTTTGGGGTTGGCGTATGACCTTGTGATTATCCTCTTGGGTGTCGTTTACCTTCGTAACTCCTGGCTCGCACCAAGTGAGGTGTTAGGCACGTGTAGATCTTTATTAGTTGAGAGTGGAGGGCCAACACACACATTAGTACGCAACTTCCGCAGTCTGAAAGATAACCTTACAATATAGATCTATACACACACACACACACTTATTATCTGGCTCTGTGACAAATAGGGCAGTAGTCCAGTCAACTGAGCTAATTCCAAAGACACCGCTAAGTCAAGGAGCTTCTTCTCACTATTACCTCAGCTATTCGCGCACCATCCTTAAAAAAGGATAAAATACACAATATTTATTCCATTTTTCACACAGTAATCGGTTGTTCTGACTTAGGGGTGACTATTTTCAACCTCCCAAGAATACCGTCAAAATATGAAACTGGTCGTCGCATGGGAAAACCAACGCCCAACTCATTAACATGAAATAGGTAAGATCAAACCTGTTTGCGTGGGGCTGACACAAAGTCCTTGCTCTACGTTAGCCCGAAATCATGATGAGAGCCCCACACGCGATTGGTCCTGCACGGCCGATGTGCTTCTTGTCTTCATCGAAGGCACGCACTCCTAGTAGATACACTCCTAGTAGATACGCGCGAGGTTACTGGGGAAGAGACCCTAAGTCACTAAGTCGAGTCACTATAGCTCTAGGGGTCAAAGCGAACTCTGTTCATTGTTATTAACTAATAATCTGGCTATTCTTCACATGCAATCTTGTTTTCACTTGGCCTTGGTATTGGGATCGTTGCCGTCGATAATCTTGGTATATCGTGCGCCATCATGGCGTGCTTGTAGCAGTCGCGACGTCGACACTAGATACACGCGGTACTTCTGTCTTGGCTGTGCACAACAGATCCTTGGGCGGTCGCTCTGGTCGGTCAAAAGTAATTTGACTAAAGCATATCCGAGTCTGTCGTCCGGGGTGTCTTGCTCAGCCGATCTCCTTGATCTCCGAAGCGTCGTTCAGGTCTGCGCAACAATCTCCCAGGAGCTTCATGCCGCATTAGTAGGTTCACCGCCCTCCCATGTCGTAGTTTTCGCATTCGTCGAACCGTGAGCCCTCAGGTAGTGGTTGTCCAGACCATCCTTGCCATCTTCCAGGCCTTCGATTCATCCACACCGCGCTGCATTCATGCACGTGTTGTCCGGGTCGCTTATGGGTGTGCGAAGGCGTCGTATAGGCTTCACTGTTCTTGGCTTCGCCGTCCGCACGCTTCGCCAACGCTTGCTGCACCACTCGAGCGCACTTCCAGGGCTCCAAGCGCTGAACTCAAACAGCCTAACCTAATCATTGTTTATTTCCGGGAAATCGTTTACTGCGAGTTTGATGTTGTTTTCTATTTGTCAGCAATTTGATGTCTACATCGGAGGATTCAAAATCCCCTTCTAGAATAAGATATGTATATTCGTGCGTGCATTTTATCAACAACAGTCTCAACTATGGTCGGCAACGCCGACACTTTCTTGCTTTTAGCCGTCAAGAAGGTGCCAACCCTTTCAGCTGCATATAGCAGCATCAGTCGATCAATTTAGAAGAGTCCGGGCGTCCAACACAAAAATTAAACCACCCAAAACGAAATGAAATTTAACATTCTAACAATATTTAGGTCAGCCAATAACCAATAAGCACAGCAGTGAGAGATGTGCTCTCGCGTACACATGATCACCATTAGTAGTTTTGTTTCGTCACGCCGAGCGGTTACTCAACCGCTTTTTAGTAACCCAGAGCCTCGCGAAAAATCACAACATCTTCAACCTCATGGGTATTTTGAAGAAGAAACCCGCCCAGCTTAACGAGAAGAATGTTCGAAACATCGGCGATGTTGCGACTATAATACTGGGCTCAAAACAGCCAGCTATTTAGCGCTTGTGTTCGTCGCACTGATGTGGTGTAGTGATTTCCCATTTTTCGGTGTCGCCACCAAATTCAAGCCCCATCCCTGTGCTGAGACGCGATCGCGACATGTGGATGGTACCGTCGTGTCACTTCCGAGCGATCGTCGTGTCCGGCTATGACCAAGATGTCACATAAGTCGGGTGGTTTGTATCGGTGGTGTTGGATTCGCATTCAGCGGTCATGAACCGGTGGCTACTGTACTACGACTCGGCGACGGTTGGGACGACACTTCGATGGCTTCAGCGAGCGTTAGGGGCTCGGCGGAGGCCTGAAAAGACACAAGGACGGTTGAGGTGTCAGTTGGCACGCGCAACGATGCATAACGGATCATAGTTCACTAGCTTTTTGTATACTTGGTTAGGATTGTATATTAAGATAGAGCTAAACGAGTAAAATGAGTAACATAACAGAAACTCCATTCAAGCACACGACCGAGGTCCGGTTTCAAGGTAAGCGTCTGGATAAGCTTGTTTGGGGTGTGTTATGCCTGTCGGTGGACTCGAAGCTTACTAGTGAGGGCTCATTCGGTAAGACCAAGAATGTGTGTGTGTGCGGGCCGGTTTATATCAGAAGTTTACGTGACGGCTTTACGGTGCCT